GGGAGGATGAGAGAGGAGAGAGGAAGAAAGGTGAGAAGTTTCTGCTGCTCTAGTCAAAAACCACATAATTTTCGTTATGAATATCGAAACTCATAAGCTGGTCATAAATGTCGTAAAATTTTGTTTTTGCCATTGAACCCAAACTTGAAAGCAGAAGGGTAGCTTTCTGTAGTAAACGATACTCTTTTGATCCACTACTTCAGAATACTATCAATTCCAATTTGCATTTTCACGAATAATTTCTTTCTAAAAACTGCCAGTTGAACTTCATATCTATAAAAGTTAGTTGGTAATATTTGCACGCTAGACGACAATAGCAAAAAAAAGACAAAAAAGAAACTTAAGGTACGTTCTTGACAACAATTAGTAATGAATGTGAACTATTTCCTAAATTTATCATTAAAATTACTGCCTTGTTTTGATGCACTAGCTGAACTTTCCCAGTTTTCTTAAAACAAAAATAATGGTTTAAATTCCTGAAAATTGCTCGCCCTCAATACTGAAAGAAGTGAGCAACAAAGAGCCTAAGCCTTACCAAAAACATACCAAAAAACCGTCTGATTTGCCTTTGAAGAAAAAAAGTAAAAAGTTGCTTCGTCTGGTATGCCAATACCCAATCTTTTTAGGAGCAGAAAAACTTGGTTCCTTGATCTTTTCTGATTAATCTCCGACCCATCAAACAACGTACAAACCATTTGACACCTTTTCCCTATATTAGATCACTTGCCAACCTTACCATCTATCTGGAAATCTGTCATATAAATTATCATAAGCTTCAGGACAACTTCAAATAATATCTCGCTTATTTACCTAACAAATTTTATGCAGTGAGACCATCAGGACTAGGTTTTTTATAACGTCTTAAACTAATAAGATGAGTAAAGAATAAAGGAGAAGTTAGCAGTAATAAAGTTGTCAAAATAACGAAGAAAAAGTACCAAAAAAGAAACGACATATTTTTAGAATCAAATGACTAACTATGGCTCTTTAGGCAGCTAATTGGTAAAATTTACCTTTTTTTTTTTACATAACTTCATCTCGTCTTGTTCACCTCATTTAATTCCGTATCCCCCCCCCCCCAAATATTATCAACAGTTTTGATAATAAGTTTTCTTGGCAATCACTCTGTATTGTCATTGACAAAGTGTTATCAGTGCTGCACAAAAGTAAAGTCACAGAAAAAAATTTGGAAAAGATTTTTCAAACCAGTAAACGACCTTAATTACCCTAATCAAAGATAGAAAAAAAAAATAAAGAAAAGCAAAATTTTTCTTCTCAGTGAATTAAAAATGTATTTTTAACAAAAAACATACAATTTATTGCCAAAACTGCCTAAACTGTTTAAAGTTTTGACAGTCTGTTTAACTGAGAGTCCATCGATGCAGACACTGAATATAATTAACAGCATCGAACAGTTTAACAGTATCAAAGAGACAAAACTGAGTATCAATAATGAATTAAAGTTTTTTTCATTAAAAATGTGTTTAGGCACCAGACTCCTAGACTACATAATTCAAAAATTTTTGAACACACCATCTGTTAGTGCGACATTCATGTAACTATACAATTTTGAAGCCCTCTACCATTCGCAGATTACCATAAAACAAAAGTTTTTTCCGTCCAATAAGCAGTTATTCTATTTGACCCAATTTTATCACTTATCTTCCAGAAAGTTCTCATCAAAATAGCTCACGGTTCAACAGAACAGAAACTGTGACCAACAAATCGCCAAAGTCTCTCCCAAAACTGTTACAACAATTTAAACTAAAGTTCTTTTAAAAAATAGTGTCGTAAAAATGCGAGCAACTGGTGATAAAGTAATGCTGATAAACCATGCAATCAATTAATCAAAACTCAAGAATCTACTAGGTGATATGACAGAGTAGAATAAACAAAAAAAAATGCCTATAGATTACAGACGCAACTAAGGCCCCGTTAGTCGTGCAAATAAATGTTAATTGCTACACATATGTATATGCGTATAGTCATTGTTCTATAAAATAAAAAAAAGAAAAAAAAAAAGAAAATCATAAAAAGATAAAGATAAATGAGAGAAATCTAAAACTTACCAGCTCGAAATTCACATATAAATTCCTGAAATAAAACTGGATTATTGTTGAATTAAATCATCAATTGACAACAAAAAAGATCCAATTCCAGACTTCTTATAGGTAAGAAAAAAAAAAACAAAAGCAAGTCAAATGTGACAAAGACAAACGAAGAAAGAGAAAAATTTTGAGGGCTGAACATTAAGCACAAATAGACTGTTAAACCATAACCAATTTTGTTCTGCACCTCTACTGCTTTTCGTTTTGGCTTCCTTTCGTCACTTCTTTTTTTGAATTAATCATAGAAAAAAGTTTTAATCAGTTTGATAAAGCGCCAAGAAAAAATCTGCTTATTTAAGCTGTTATGTTTTTATCCAATATACTAATTAAAACAGTTATCTCAGTGAATTCCAATTAGATGTGTCTCCAAACAACAACAATAAAAATTTTTTCTCATCCATAAACAATATAAAATTATTAAAAAATTTCTGTATCGGTGCTTTTGTTTTCCTTCAATTTCCCTAAAAAAGAACAATATTTTGATAAGCTCCAATTGACAATATTTCCAAGAAGGTAGTAAAAAAACCATGGAGCAAAAAAATAAATAAATAAATAAA